GGTTAGAGGGCGGCGGGGGGAGGGGTGCTGCCCCTCCTCCAGGTGGCAAGTGGACTTGCTTCCATCTCCCAGGGGCCTGTCCTGGGGGCGGCCTCTGCTGCCCCAGGTTCACAGGAAGCATGTGTTCATGTCATCCTGCTCCTGGGAGGAGGGTGCAGTGTGGTCAGGAGGCAGCGTCAGCAGCAGGAAAGGACTTTAGGAGGACCGGGCTCTAGCCCAGGGTAAATCGCTCTCCTTCTTTCTTCTTTTGCTTCCTCAGTTGGTGGCTGTAGTGGCTTTTCCAGAATAGGTTATTACCAGATTTTGAACATAGGTTTCTGTGGTATACAGAAGAAAGTTAAAAAAAGCTGTTGTATATTTAGTGGCTAATATTTGTAAACCTCAAACTCCCAGATTTATCCCTTCCCACCCCATTTCCCTGGTAACCATAAGATTGTTAACCAAGTCTGCGAACCTGTTTCTGTTCTGTAGATGAGTTCATAGTGTCGTCCTTTTTTTCGATTGCACCTCTGAGTCATATCATTTGGTGTTTTTCTCTTTCTGTCTCACTTCACTAAGAATGATGATCTCTAGGTCCATCCATATTGCTGCAAATAGCATTCTTTTAACCTTTATAATGGCAGAGTAGTATTCCATTGTATAAATATACTAGTTCATCTTCACCCAGTCACCTGTTTCTTCATTTAGGTTGCTTCCACGTTTTGGCTATTATATAGAGTGGTGCTATGAATACTGGGGTGCAGGTACTTTTTTGCATTGGAGTTTCCTCTGAATATATACCCAGAAGTGGGATTGCTGGATCATAGGTTAAGTCTATTTTTAGTTTTTTGAGGAAAACCTATACTGTTTTCCATAATGGCTACAGCAAACTACGTTCCCACCAGCAGTGTAATAGAGTTCTCTTTTCTCCACACCCTCTTCAGCATTTATCATGCATGAACTTTGAAGTGACAGCCATTCTGACTGGTGTTTTGTAGTTTTGATTTCCATTTCTCTGGTTATTAGTGATATTGAGCATTTTTACATGTGCCTATTGGCCATTTGTAGTCTTCATTGGAGAATTGCTTCTTTAGGTCTTCTGCCCATTGTTGGATTGGGTTTCTTGTTTTTTGTTATTAAATTTTATGAACTGTTTACATATTCTGGGAATTAAGTCTTTGTCAGTTGAATCATTTACAGATATTTTCTCCCACCATTCCTAGATTGTTGTTTTGTTTTGCTTATGGTTTCCTTTGCTGTGCAGTTTCCTTTGCTATAAGTTTAATTAGCCTGTAAGTTTAACAGCTCATACATCTTAATAACAAAAAACAAACAGCCCAATTCAAAATGGGCAAAGACATAAACAAGCAATTCTCCAGTGAAGACCTACAAATGGCCAATAGGCACATGAAAAAATTCTGTGTTGCTGATTATCAAGGAAATACAAGTTAAAACTAGATGAGGTATCATCTCACACCAGTTAGAATGGCCATCATGGAAAAGTCATTGCATATGTCATTCAAAAGTCGTAGCACACATCATTAATTATGTGGGCTTTTTCTGCTAGTCACATTCGAGTTTAAATTCCAACCCAGCTACTGGCTGTAAAAAGCCAGGGAATTGTGTCCAGTGAATACATATCTGTATTTGTCATTTTCCCTCATCAGGGTGGTTTCTCTTTCATATACGAAATGATAAGCATGTAATTTACATTGATTTTTATGCATACATTCACATATAATAGCCACAAAATACAAGGCCACTTAAAAAAAGATACTCCTTTCTTCTTACTGTAGAATGTGTTCAAACCTTTAGCAGCAGATTCAGCAATTAAAGGGTTAACAGTATAGCTGCCACCACTCCCTGTCCTGGAGCCTCACAGGGACACTTCGAGGCTGAAGAAAAGACTTTTTCCTTCAGTTTATCTAAAGCTTTTCTTCAGTCCTGGGATTGTTTTAATATATAATTTATTCATTTTTTAATGGAGGTACTGGGGATTGAACCCAGGACCTCATGCGCACGCTGTGCCACTGAGCAACACTCTCCCTGGCCAGGCCTGGAATTGAATAACCTTCACTTCTCCCTCCTGGAGGAGAGAGGGACACAAACTTCAACATTTTTGACCCACCCACATCCGTCTTTGGAAACGTTGGGGCACTTTTTCCTCCCACCTGGGTGGAGAAGGAAGACCATGGGGTCACCAGGCGTGGGCTTTCCCCTCACTGAGGCCAGCAGGCCAACTCCTGGGGTTGCATTTGCTGCTTTCAAATGCATTGGTGCATTTTACTTCTCCCACCTGACAGCTTAGCTTCCATTTTATACCGTGGGTGATTGCGTGGCTACCAGGGACCAGATTCATCGTGTCCCACCCTTCATTCTTCCTTTTACTGAACAAGGCTTTTGTGATACTTGTCTGAATTAGGGCTGTTCTAGAGAATCCCAGCGCTGCCCTCCCTGTTCCTGAGAGCACTCCCAGGTTCAGTGATTCACTAACAAGCCTCACAGGGCTCTAGATGTGTTCATCCTCAGGGCTGAGATTTAGTATAGTGAAAGAGAAGAAAGGAAAATCAGCAAAGGGAGAAGGCATGTGGGCCACTTCTGGGAGAAACCAGACGGATGTCCTCTCCCAGGGGAGATGGCACAGGATGCCCTTCGTCCCCCCAGCAAGGCACTGTGACCACATATGTGAAGTGTCATCTTCACGGGCAACGTGGGGAGACTCGGTGCCCTGAGCTTTCACTGAGGCAGGTCGTGTAGGCACGTCTGCCTGGTGCTCAGGTGAGTTCCAGGCCCCCGGAAGGAAGCCTGGAACCATGTGGTCTGTGCAGACAGTTGAGGCCCAGGGACGCATTCTTGGCAGTTAGGGGATGGTCGGAACCCTCGCATAATCCAGGTTATTGGAGGCCAGCGGAGGGCAGCCTTGCAAGCAGGCCTTTCCAAGGACAGCAGTCTTGGGCCTGCTTTGTTAGCTTGTCTGTTTCCAGTACCGTAATTAAAGCTGGTTCATGTCTCACTGTCAGACAGTTAGGTGGTTATCTTTTTTCTATTGTAATAAAATTATATGATGCATGTTTTTCTTTTTTTCAAATATTGTATTTGTTCGTTTGTTTTTTTTAATTTATTTATCTATCTATATCTACTTATTGTTTTTTGCAGGGGGGCAATTAGGTTTCTTTATTTTAATGGCGGTACAGGGGTTGTTGAACCCATTACCTCCTGTGTGCTAAGTGTGTACTCTGCCGCTGAGCTAACCTCCCCCTCAATGAGTGTCTTTCTAACTTAGAGCATTTTGGTTTTTTTGGAGCAGGTTGTAATCCCTAGAAAGAGAGTAAATGTCTTTTCTGAGTAGTTTTTTCATCTTTTACAACTTCTGATACACATTTAGATATTTTGTCCTCCCCTTGCCTTTTCCAAAATTTAATTCTCATCAGTAAGTTTTTCATAGTATTTGTTGTACTGATAAAACAAAAATACACTATTGAGTCTTTAAAGTTACTATTTTCATTAATACTTAATAATTATTTTAAACATACATTAAGATTGGGAAATTGTGACTCTTGATTGGCTCAACTGCTGTTTTTGGTGCTGTGATAGGCCCCAGCTGTGATAATGTTGAAGAAGCCATGAACAAGTCTGCCCGAGGAGCTCCCGCTACAGTTCTGGGAGAGACTCAGAAGGAAACAGCCCCGGTGCAGCTCCCGGTTTCTGGCCTGGAGCTGGCTGCCGTGATGAAGATGGGAACCAGGGTCATGAGAGGCGTGGACTGGAAATGGGGTGATCAGATGCTTAGAGATTTGACCCAAACACATGAGCCACTTGTTAGTCATATTCTGCGCATCCTGGGGGGTGGAACCTGGAGTCAGTACCTACCTTCTCTCAGGATGTTTGTGACTGACCCATGACAAAGTACCGACTCCAAGGCAGGTGACTAGAGGCTCCAAACG